ATAGGAGTCATTCTCATATATGGCCCTCAACCATTAGAACTCTTGGAGGTTATATTAGAAATTTTGTATCTAAGAATTAAGATTTGGAATCAAAGATTTGATCCAACCTCAATTCAAAATATAGTAGTGCCTTTGTTGAGTTTCAAGAAGAATCTAGAAAAGAGGAAATCATTAAAAAAAACTCAAGGAATAGATCCAACTACTCAAGGAAAAAGAATAAATATCAAACATACTTGAAAGATCTTCATCTTCCTCATCATTGTCGTCTTCATCAAGAGGAATACTCGAAGATAAAAGTGAAATATTAGCACTTATAAAATCTTTTGAACGAACAATTTCAATAGATGAACAATCATCCAATGAGTCATCATCAGATGAAAATTATGAAGAAACCTCGTGTAGTAGAACTTGTAAAGATATCCCATCTAGCCGAATCTTTGAGGAAGAAGTTTCATCAAGTAGAATATGTAAATAAATTAAAACAAGTGGGGTCTTTGAAAATAGAGATGATAAAGAGACAACATCCAAAAGAATTTTTGAAGAGCCAGCATCTGGAGGAATGTGTAGAGATACCTCGGGTATAATATCACATGAAGAAGATGGATCAACGAACGATGAATCAATAAAGGAAACATTAAAAGATTCATTGATATGTTCATGCAAAGATATTTTTAAGAATATACTTGACAATACTTCTGAGGACTCTTATAAAGAATCGCCCAAGGAAAAAGAGTATACTTGTCTTAAAGCAACCTACGATAAGGGAGATTATATTGAGGTAACATCTTTAATTCTCCAGCAACACTTTACGTTTAGTATTAAGCTTTGTTAAAGAAAAATGAAATTAGAAACCAACATTGTTGATCTTAAGAAGTATAATGAATTTGTGGAAAATAAAAATAAGATTTTTGGTGAAGAAATTGCTAGCATTAGAAGTGAGTTTTTAAAATTAGATACATATTGTGTTAATCTAAAAAATAGAAACATTTTAAAGTAGAAAATAAGATTTATTTGAGATATCATGTTGTCATGTTATAACATGTATATGGCGTCAAGAAACAATCATTATGTGTCTAACCATTAATGGCTTTAAACACCATCATTATATGTTTAATTGTCTGTTTGTTTATAGGAAATACAAAACATGATGATTTACTTTGTTTTGTAGGAAATTGACATTTAAAAACACTTACTCAAATATTATTTTCTCAACAAATAGACCATATTTGTGGTCTTTGGTAGATCAGATAGCAGTTAGTCCACCAGTCATGAGACGAACAATCAGACGTCCAAAAAAGACGGCAAACAAGACTAATGATGAACCAAGAAATTCGCATGTACCGGCAAGGAAACTAGCAACAGTTACATGTACAAAATAAAGAGTAGTGGGGCATAATATGAGGAGTTGTAAAGGAAAATGAGAAATTGAGAGAACAATTCTAAAGGGTGGTAATGATCCAGAAAAGGCTAAGCATTCAAAGTTTGGAAAAAGAAAAGGAAAAACATACATAAATTGTGCATGGACCACAAGTGCCACAACCTTCTCAATATATTCAAGATTAGAATATTTTGATGTCATGGTCTTGTAATAGTTTGATGCTATGAATGAATTATGTAATGGATCAATTAATTAATAGTTTAATGGTATGGATGAATGGTGTAATAGGTCAATTAAATATGAGTTTGATGTCATGGGTCAATTAAATTTTATTTTGATGTGATGAACAAAATAATGGTTGAATATGTGTATCCAACTGTTATATTTTGATTAAATATATGTTCAACTATTATATGTTCAATTGTGTTTAAATATGTTCAATTGTGCTCAAATATATTTAATTGTTGACAAAACATACAAACTTGTTCAACTATTATAGTTGTTATTAATTAAAATTATATTGATTGACAAAATGTGTAAACTATGTTAAGTTGTTATAGTTGTTATGTGCAAATAGGTTATATTTCAAATTTATAGTTTGACAAAATTTATAGTACAAACAGGTTATGAAAAAATTTAACTTTGACAATTTATGTTTATAGTCCAAATTTATAGTGCAAATAAGCTATGACTATAATTCAATTAGGTTATGGCAAAAAAAATTACCACAAACAAGTTAAGTCCATAAACTAAACACGTTATGGCAAAATTTTATTGTAAATATAATGTAAACATGTTATAATTTGACAGAAACATATATTGTTGTGACCGAATAAATTTTTTGTCACTTATCCAAACTTGTTACAACATTATGAAAACTTAGTCACTTAATCACTTGTTACAACATAATCACTTAACGATCATCTAAATATTTAGTCAACTAAACAGTTAATGATAATCTAATCAATTAAACACTTAATGATCATCTAAGCACTCGATTAACACTTATTACATTAGTGTCGAAGCAACTAAGGAAAACATCATAATAAAAGTTATGAGTCAGTTTAACTTCGGTTGCTTCTTCATAAACTTCATCTTTTACTTTGGCATCATTAATCTTTTACTTCTCTTTATTTAATTTATGAAATAATGAAGAGATTAATTCATTTGTTTTAGGATTCATTTCTTCATCAAATTAAATAAAATAACTATATTTCTTGTAGTCTTGTAACTCAAAACACCAATGGAGATGAAAAAAATTAATGAATTGCAAAAATGGCGACCGGGCTAAAACATGACAAGATCAAAACCTGCAAAAATGAAATCATACCTTATACATATCACGTCCATAAAAACGACAATCATGATTTAAATTAGTCCACGTCGTTATCAATTGAGCATCAAAATTGCACTTGCATTTGCACATAATAGAACGAGATTTATTTTTCGTGGTAAAAATAGAATATTGCGACATTGATGAGAACAACTGAATAACTTTGCTTTGAGAGGAAGAAGAAGAAGAAAACAACAAAATTCACCTAAAATTTGTTGGCATGTGTTTGAAGAACATGATGAAGATAAAATCTTTAAAAAATTGATGAATATTCAAATAATAAACTATATTAATTAAAATAATATTAATTTATATTAAATATTCAATTAATCATTTTATTTTATTGACATGACCATTTTTACTTATTTAATGCCACAATGACAATATCATATATTAAATGGAAAAGTCATATGAGTAAAAGTTAAAAGATAGAGATTAAAAAATTATAAGAATGGTGAAATAAAGAGACTAAAATATAGAATTTTAAAAGAAAAGACTAAAAATTTAAACTACTTAAAATAGAAAGAGAAAAAGCACCTTTAAACCAAATATTTTTATAAACTTTTATACTTCTGTGACACAATCCATAAAAACCTTGTTTTATTAAAATAGAGAAAGACATTGATAAAGTATAGACTTTAACTTTTGAAAGTTCTGACAATAATGATTTAATAATAACACTGAATCAAACTTGAACTTTGTGTGCATGCATATATGTATTGAATAAATATATTAACTAATTATTTATCTTTTAAATTATACGACGTTTTAGATATTTCATAAAAATTAAAATATATAATTATTGTTGTACGGAAAAGTAAAATGAAATTAAAAGAATATGAAAAAGAAAGAGTAATAATTCAAGAAAAAAGTCATTAATATTATATTAGACTTCTAAAGTGATTTATAATTCAAGACAAATATTTTTTTAATGACTTACAATTTAAGACAGAGATAATAGTGAAGATATTAGTTGTTTTGTGTCTTTTTAGTTTATCAACAACCATAAGTATTTTGCTCAAGATAAAATTCATAAATAATACTCTTTTTGTTCTACAACAAGTGACTCATTTAAAATAAAAGAGTGTTTTAAAATGAGTAATTCATTTTAATTTTCAATGTATCTTTTTTAATACATAATAAGAGTATTTTAGTAAAAATATTATTTTTAAAAAAAAAATTTTAATCTCTATAAAATAGTCAATTGAGTTACTCATCGTAAAACTGAAAGAATAATAATTTAATTTAGAAATTAAATGTTTTGATTTATTTTTATTTTTAAAAAATATCTTAATTTTAATTTTTTAATGAGAAAGTTAAAATTGTTCTTTATAAAGTTTGATTTTATAATTTTAAAATATCTCTTATTAAAATTATTATATAATTATTATTAATAATTTTTAGTTTTATAACATATATTATATATAATAGTTGCGCGGTTACGCTGATAATATATCAAAATTAAATTTGCATGCATGCATAAGTGCATGCGTACCGCTTTTACAAAATTATTCTTCATTAATTAAATGTTTCTGCATGGTGGCTTTCTTTCTTCAAAAAGAAAGAACTCTGCTATGTATTCATTAATGTAAAAGAGAGAATAATTTTATATATAAAGGATGCACTTCTGCACCTTTGATCTCGCAAAGAGATTATAAACGAATTAACCTAGTTGTGAGGTTACGAATTTCGTGTGTTCTTTCTTTCTCTCATTCCGCGGTGAACTCGCAAACTCTCAGTGTAACTCTGTTATCAGATCTCCATCATTGACTCTGTAACTAACCTTCCCATGAATTTCTCCTATTCTCTGTTTCTGTTGGAAGCATAGGGAAGGAGAAGAAGAAAAAGAAGCGGAGTTCCCAAAGCCAGCAATCAGAATCAAAATCACTTTTTTTTTCAAAAAATAATCGGTTCTTGTTTGATTAGCTTAAATTATTCAAAAACCTATCAGCAATTACTGAGTAGTTACGAGCTTAATCTGTCGCCAGTTATGTTGCAAAGGTAATTAATTACTTCTTAACTCAATGTTAATTTTTATATCAGATTCTCTTATTCAATTTCTCCTTTATTCATTCATTTTTATTCATTTCCCAATTTTCTTATTTATTTTTTTTCAATTTTTCTCTTTTAGGTTCATGATTCATCCTTGATAGTGCAAATTTCGAAGATTGATCAATTTTTCTGCTTAATCGAAAAATTGAGCTCCGTCAACTGTTCTAAGAAAGACCCACTTTTCAATTTTATATTTAAAAAAGAAAAAAAAACAGTTTTTTTAGGTGAATTGTGAAAATGGAGGTTGGTGAAATGGGTAGAAAGGAACCACAAACAGAGATTCCATGGATTCCTACAACCCCTATGAAGCCAATTTTACCAAAATCAGTTCCGATCTGCCCTCCAGTGGAAGGAAACAACCAAACCCACCATCATGCTAATGGAGCAGTTGCATGTTCTGAATTCTCAAATGGGTCAGAGAAAAACAAAGAATCCCATCATGGATCAGTATCTGTGGCTACAATTGCAGACATTGCAGGTTATAATAGCAAAATCTGCGAAAAGACGGGTTCTCATAATGTTTCGTGTTGGAGTGACCTAGATGGTTCGGCCAAATTTTTGTTTCCGCCAGAAGGAGCTTCGTCGAATTCGTATTCAAAGCAGCTCGGAAACAATAATGGATTGAATGATCTATTTGGTCCTTCAGTTATCGGTAAGTGAAAGTGAAGTGCTACAGCTATTTTTACTGTATTTAACTCTCATGCCTATTTATAATTTATTATTGTGTTATATTTTACTTTTACTTTTCTTTGGAAAACTCAGGAACACAATGTGTATCAGCAACAATTTACAACATAGTATGAAAATTAAAAATCATACAAAGAATATTTGAAAATGTAATGCTTATGATGATATGGGGGGAAACATTAAGCCTTAAGGATGAAATTGATATTCATCAATTAGATGAACAGAGATATACACAGACACGACTTTGACACATTGACACTAATAATAATTTGAGACACAACATTGACACATCAACGCCGATATTAATTTGAGAAAATGGATTAATTGAATGTGTTGGCTTTCGGTGTTTGCTAACACGCGACAGGCACCAAACATGTCTTTGATCAAAAGTGTTTGTGCTACAGTGATTATGATCATATTGTATTAGTAGTTTCCATCTTGCTCCTAAGCAAATAGTATGGCTTGGGCGTATTATTTTTTCCCATTACCACTGGTTTTGTACATAAATGAAGAATTATGTATTCAATTTTGAATTTCTAAGCTTTCGTTGAAAGAACTAGTTTTCCACTTAATCACAATTTTGAATTTCTAAGCTTTCATTGAAAGAACTAGTTTTCCCCTTAAAACAAATTTATCTGGGTATTAGAGTACAATTTCGTTTGAAACTTGTAAATCATGAGACTGTGATGCCCTATGGAAAACAAATTTATCTGGGTATTAGAGTACAATTTCCTTTGAAACTTGTAAATCATGAGACTGTGATGCACTATGGAAATCATCAACCTTTTGTTCCAAAGGCATGGCCTTCAGTTCAATATTTCCTTGTAAAAAGTTTCAGCTTTAACTCCCTTTTAATACTGTTTATGAAACTGGGGCTGGATTGCTTTTATTCTCAGTTTTGTTTGAATTTTTGATGCAGAAACATCCGACAATGCTTGCTGTAGCAAGAGAACTTCCCAGGGTGACGCTGCCAAAATGCTTGACAAGGATGAACCCTCGCCGAACAAAGAACTCAGCGACCTTGTTGTGGAATTTACTGCTGTTTCTTCACCACTGAAGGAGAATCACAACCCAGATGAAGGGAGCAGCCTCTGTACAGGTCTGACTAAAACACCAGAAAAAAAGCCAAGGAGAAAAAAGCACCGCCCCAAGGTCATTAGAGAAGGTAAACCCAAAAGAACCCCGAAGCCAGCTACCCCGAAGCCTGCGCAATCAAAAGGAAACACAATAGGCAAGAGGAAGTATGTGAGAAGAAAAGAATTGAACAAAACTCCTACTCCTGCAACAGAAATGACAGGAGAACTCACTGAAAAAATACCTGAAGCTGCCGAAATGTCATGTAGAAGGTCCATAAATTTTGAAATAGGTGCAAAAGATGAGAGTTCTGCAGGCAGAGGAAATACAACTGCACTTCTGGACAAAGAAAATGGTGTAGCCGTACAAGAAACAAATGTTGGCCTTGCTTGTGATTTAAACACTCCGGTTAAGCATGCATCAAACAGTTCCATGTTATTACCAGAAGATACACAAGTCCCAGATACATCTTCACAAAACACCCACCCTGAGGCAAAGCCAAAAGAAACTGGTACAGCTCTGCAGGAAGTTGAGGTAGGCCTTGCCTATGATATGAAGGCTTTCACGAAGCAGGCAGCAGAAAATAATTACCTATCAATTTGTAATAATGAACATACCCCAATTGTGCATCCGTGCAAAGAAACTGGTGCAGAATTGCAGGATATTGATGTAGCTCTTGCATATGATATAGAGCCTCTCATGAAGCAGGCAGCAGAAAATAATTGCAAGTCATTTTGTAATGTTGAACAAACCCTAAGTATGTCTCCTTCAAAAACTAATTCTACCGAGGAAAACTCAAAAGGAAACCTGACAGGAAATAAGTACCAGAGAAGAAAACGATTGAACAAGTCTACTAGCCAAACAGAAATGACAGGAGGACTGACTGAGACATTTATGCCAGAATCTAAAGAAACAACAATAAGTAGGTTCTCAATGGGAGCGGAAGATGAAAGTTCTGCTCACAGACAAATTGTAAATGTGCAAATGGATGATGTGGTAGAGGAAACACCTGTAGGCCTTGCCTATAAAGACACTTGGATGAAGCAGGCATTACATAGTTACATGGCATTACCTGAAGACCCAAACGGTGAGAGGAAGTGTGTGAGAAAGAAGAGATCGGACAGGACTTTTACTCCAAAAAAAATGGCAGGTGAATTGACTAAACCAATCATCTCTGAACCTGCCATTATATCGTGTAGAATGTCCATAAATTTTGACACGGGAGGAAGAGATGAAAGTAGTGTGTGCAATGAAAGCCTCACCAATGATCAAAACACCTTGGTGAAAGAGATAGTACATCATTACACATCGTTGTCTGAAAACACACAAGCTCCAAGTACGTGTGTTCCAAAAAGAAATCTTCTTGAAGTGAAGCAGAATGCCAGGAACAAAAATAAAAGAAAGGGTCTTGCAGAGGCTGAGGATGGAAACATCAGTAATGCTCAGGCTTCAACAGTAAAGTTACAAATAGTTCGTTGTGAGAGAGAGCATTCTGAAACCACTGAAAGAGCAGATAATGGTCAAGCTTCAACGGTAAACTTACAAATGGAAATGGTTGGTTTTGAGGGAGAGCATTCTGGAACCAATGAACATGCAGATAACAGCAGCATGAATCTGATCGGGGCACACTATAATAGATTGCACTCATACCAATCAAAGTTTCCACTTCAGTTTCCAAGTACATGTCTTCCAAAATGCAATCCTCCTGGAAGGAAGCGGAATGCCAGGAACAAAAACAAAAGAAAGGGTCTCGCAGAGGTTGAGGACGGAAACGTCAGCAATGGTCAGGCTTCAACTGTAAATCTACAAATGGTTGGTTGCGAGAGAGAGCATTCTGGAATCACTGAACGTGCAGATAATGGTGTTGCTTCAACAGTAAAGTTACTAATGAAAATGGTTGGTTGCGAGAGAGAGCATTCTGGAACTACTGAACGTGCAGATAACAGCAGCGTGAATCTGGTTGGTTGCGAGAGAGAGTATTCTGGAACCACTGAACGTGCAGATAACAGCAGGGTGAATCTGATTGGGGCACACTCTAATGGATTGCACTCATACCAGTCAAAGTTTCCACTTCAGTTTTCAAATATCCAGAAGAAAAGGAGAACTGAAAAGGGAAAAACTTCTAACACTCATATTACATCTTCTGTGATCACCAAAAATGGAGTACCACTAATATTTGCTCCCGAAGATGCTCACGTGCATCCTTATGCATCAAAATACAGCTCCTGGATGTATGGTTTGGGATATAATGCAGCTGTACGCCCAATCATAAATGAATCTAGAGAAAATTATATTCAGAATACTCAAACATTTGATGAGTTCAAATTATGTTTGAGAAGGATGGCAGAAATATCTCAATTACCAAATCAAACTTGTGATTATAATTCACTAATGAGAATTAGAAACTGTATTGAAAGAAATTACAATGCAAAACAACTGGACTTTTCAGACTGGCAATTAATACAAGAAGCAGAAAGACCACAAACATGCGTTGACGTCTTAGCTGTGTCATGTGCAAAAAAGAAGCGAAATAGAAAGAGAAGTGATCTTTCCAGCTCAATGCGTCCTAACAAAGATGAGATGCAACAGTGCCATAATTCTGCATTGGGAAACCACCAGCTAACACTGGGGAAACCATCAGGTATTTCCACTAAACATTTGATTTGTGTCAGTAACATAGTATAGATGCCAAAGGACATATTATACAATGTAATTTTGCATTGCAGGTACTGCTCGGAGAGTAATGCGGAAAATAATGCATAATGTTGAAGCATTAACAGAGCAATTTAGACAGCTAAACATAAACACGGGAGCAAAAGAACTAGCCTTATATGGGCAGAGTGCACTTGTTCCCTTTCAGGGCTCATTTGATCCCATCAAAAAACAGCGCCCACGACCTAAAGTTGACCTTGATGAGGAGACTGATAGAGTGTGGAAGCTTTTGCTGTTAGATATAAACCATGATGGGGTTGATGGAACAGATGAAGACAAGGCCAAGTGGTGGGAAGGAGAACGTAATGTTTTCCGTGGACGAGCGGAATCATTTATTGCACGGATGCATCTTGTACAAGGTATCAGTGCAAGACCTTCAATCAAAATTTAATCCTTTGCACTCATTGGCTTTAGTTGCATATTTCATACAGTATATTAATATAAAACATAATCAACAGGAGACAGGCGATTTTCTCGATGGAAAGGATCAGTTGTGGATTCAGTGGTGGGAGTTTTCCTCACTCAAAATGTCACAGACCATCTTTCCAGGTATATACTCTTCTAGTTTTTTTAGCTGACTTTGAATTTAACAGCATGCCACAACAACTTTTTTCTCTGTTGACAGTTCTGCATTCATGTCACTTGCTGCTCGATTTCCCAAAAAATCAGGCAGCATGTGCGGAGAAGGCACGAGCCTGACAGTCAACAAACAACAAGTGTGTGTGGTGGAACCAGAAGAGAACACCAAATGTGATGTAAACTTATTGAATGAATCTGTTTGCAACCAAAGTTCTATGACAGTAGATATAATTGAGCATTTTGAAGAAAAAACTGTCAACAGCAATGATTCCTGCAGAATTACCAGTAGCCCGATTATCTTAACAGATGAATCAAACTTCAAAAGAACAGAATCACCTCAAAGAAATAGTACAGAATGCCACGGCTCAATGGTGGTGATTGAGGACAGAGAAGAAAAATCATGTCATGATGGTACTGGGAAAGAGTTAAATGACATTATTTCATCCCAATCCTCTGTCATTTCATCTCAAATATCTGGAGATTTTTCAAATAATCAAAATCCTGAAAAGATAGGATCATGCTCAGATAGCAACTCAGAAGTTGAAGATCTGTCAAGCACGGCAAAATACAACACTTGCGGTTCCTTCTCTAAGCTTCTTGAAATGGTAAGTTCAACCAAGTTTTCTGAAGTTAACAGTCAAAGAAGCAAATCAATCGAGAACATGAGAGATGACAATGCAACAGAAAGCTGGAAAAAATCAAATGACACACACAGAAACTTAGGAGATCGTGAAGTTAACTGCTCTGATCCTTTCAACACAGAAGCTTTGTCATGTGGCATCTTAAAGAATAGAGATGAAAATGAGATGAATACACCTAGTTTTCAGACAGACAAATCTGCAGGTTGTGTTGCAGTGACTCATTCTCAAACTATTGCATCTCAAGTCCATCCTCAGGAACAGAGTAATCACATGCAGCAAAGCTTTTTTGACATTGCTGGACAAACTCTTGATCTGATTCAGAAAGAAAGGGATTTAAATTTTGGTGATCACAAAGATGTTGTGAGGAGTGAAACCAAGGAGATAAGTTCTGCCCCAATAAAGTTAAAGACCAAAAGTCAAGTAAAGGAGGAAAAGGAACAAATTGACTGGGATAGTTTACGAAGAAAAGCACAAGCTAAGGCTGGGAAAAGAGAAAAGACAGAAGACACCGTGGATTCCTTAGACTGGGATGCCGTGAGATGTGCAGATGTCGGTGACATTGCTAATACCATCAAAGAACGAGGCATGAACAACAGGCTTGCCGAGCGTATTCAGGTAAAATGAAACTTCGATGAAATGCAATTAATCACTTTCTGGACAGAACAAACTTATTGATGCAGCCCATTTTACATGATTTATTTTGCAGAAATTCCTGAAGAGACTGGTTGATGATCATGGAAGCATTGACCTCGAGTGGCTGAGAGACGTTCCACCTGACCAAGCAAAGTAAGTGAATGATTAATTAAGCCACTTAATTGAAATACTATTTCTCATAATGCAATTTTAGCATGTCTCGATTGTGTGGTTTGCAAAACTAGCATCCTAAACTCTCGATCCACTGGTAACACAAGAAACTAGACTTTTATGTAGCAAAATATACATATATATGTGCATAATAAAATTCAATTCATCATACAGAGAGTATTTGCTGAGCGTAAGAGGACTGGGATTGAAAAGTGTGGAGTGTGTGCGCCTGTTAACACTGCACCATCTTGCCTTCCCGGTAAGTTGAAAACAAAGGTATGCAATTGCAGGAATATGAAATAAGTTTAATAAATTATTGTCATATAACAGGTAGACACAAATGTTGGACGTATAGCAGTACGCTTGGGATGGGTACCTCTCCAGCCACTGCCCGAGTCACTACAGTTGCATCTCCTAGAAATGTAAGTACTGCATAAATAAATTATACTAGCTGGTGCTATTTACTTGGATTACATAAGCTAATATCATTTTCCATTATAGGTACCCAGTATTGGAGTCCATACAAAAGTATCTCTGGCCTAGATTGTGCAAGCTAGATCAAAAAACATTGTAAATATTTCTTTTGAATTTACATAGCAAACAGACAGAAATAAGTACTAATGTTTTCTTTGTTTCTGTAAGTTTAAAAAGGGTAATATACCTATTGATTATTATTTTATGTTTATTGAAATTGCTAAATATTACAGGTATGAGCTACATTATCAGATGATTACATTTGGAAAGGTAAGTTGCATTTTCTTATGAGAGACCAACACTATTTAACTGAAGCCTATTGTGATTTGGACATGAACTGTGATGAATGCAGGTCTTCTGTACAAAAAGCAAACCAAATTGCAATGCATGCCCAATGAGAGCAGAATGCCGACACTTTGCTAGTGCATTTGCAAGGTATGCATATATTTCTTAAAACTCTGAGGGGAAAACTATGCAGCTTCAGGTAGAACTATGTTCTCATGCATTAGAACTTTAGAAGGCACTGCAAATATTAATCTTAGCAATGTAGATATGGAATATGAGAGACACTAATACTAGAATGTTCATATATCCAGAATTATTATACTAGCTAGTAGTAACCTCATTATAGTGACATCACTCTAATAGCATTCAGTCCTAATCAAGACAATATATTTAAGAAATGGCTACTTCAGTAACAGTTGAAAAATTTCTCATTACCACACTAAAAATCCAACAATATGCATGTACTATAAATTATGATATGATCAATTACTGGAGCTTTACTGCTTGCAGTGCAAGGCTTGCCCTGCCTGGACCAGAGCAGAAGAGTATAGTAATTGCAGCTGGAAATAGTGTGCCCGATGAAAACCCACCTGTAGTCATGAGTCAGTTGCAGTTGCCTCTTGCTGGGAACACAAACCAGGTGGAAGAAATTCCCGAAACAGAAGTGAGCGGACAACTGGCAAGATCTGAAGTAAATATCTGCCAACCTATCATTGAAGAACCGACAACTCCAGAGCCAGAATGTTTGGAACAAACACTAGGTGATATCGAAGATGCCTTCTACGATGACCAGTGTGAAATTCCTACCATTAAACTTAACATAGAGGAATTCACTATGAATTTACAAAACTATATGCAACAAAACATGGAACTTCAAGAAGGTGAAATGTCAAAGGCTCTGGTTGCTTTGAATCCAGAGGCTGCCTCCATTCCTGCACCCAAGCTAAAAAATATTAGCCGATTGCGAACAGAGCATTGTGTGTAAGTAACATAATACATCTCCAACTAAATACCCTAGGAGTGAAAATTTTCTAACAACTTATGTTGATATTATGTTTCCTTCATACAGTTATGAACTCCCGGATACGCATCCTCTTCTGGAAGGGGTTAGTTATTACTGCATTTGTAAATCTATTTTATCCTATATGTCCAACTTATATTAACTACTTGCCCATTACAGTGGGACAAGCGAGAACCTGATGATCCTGGCAAATATCTTCTTGCTATATGGACTCCAGGTAGACAAAAATTAACGATTCTGTTACCCCCCAGAAGTCTTGTTTTGTACTAAGCACCAAAATAGTTTGGGAAGTTTCAAAATATATAATTTGTTTCAGTATCCTGGTACTTTCTTACTCACTTTATTGAATAAATTATAAAATTAGGAGAGACAGCAGATTCAACACAGGCACCTGAATGCAAATGCAGCTCTCGCGTAGAATATGGACAACTCTGCAATGAGAAAGACTGTTTCTCATGCAACAGTTTCCGTGAAGCAAATTCACAGATAGTTAGAGGAACACTTCTGGTCTGAATTCACATATCAAACTAATGATTTTAATTTTTAACCACGTGTATACTAATTCTTAGTTATTCATTACTAATTCTCATAATAAATATGAACAGATACCGTGTCGAACTGCTACGCGTGGGAGCTTTCCGTTAAATGGCACTTATTTCCAAGTCAACGAGGTAAAGTAGTTTGAGATCACAGATTTTCCTAAATTTCAATCCCTTTTATACTTGAGTGTTTGCAATTTAAGCAAAGCTAACATGTGGCGGTCGAAGCAGGTATTTGCGGACCATGAGTCGAGCCTTAATCCCGTTAGTGTTCCCCGAAGTTGGATCTGGAACCTCAATAGGAGAACAGTATATTTTGGAACCTCCACAACATCAATATTTAAAGGTAAAGAATGCAGAGCATGGTAATATATTATCACATACATTACTGTGTCAACTAATTAAGCTGATTCATTTTTTCACAAACAGGTTTATCAACACAAGAAATTCAACAAGCCTTTTGGAGAGGTAAGATTTAAGTCAAAGAATGTGATCCTTCTCTACTAGAGGAACCAACATAGTGACTGAATAGAAAATTAAGTGCTCAATTAACCTAACAGCTACTGAAAATGCTTTGTAGGGTATATCTGTGTTCGAGGGTTTGAAAGGAAAGCGCGAACACCACGTCCTCTGATGGCTAGACTACACTTCCCAGCTAGTAAATTGGCCAAAACCAAAGAGAAGCCAAAAAAAGAACCAAATCCAGCGAAGAAATCACAAGTACCAAAACCAGCGGAGAAATCACAAGAACCGAAGCCGCATCCTGAACAGCCTGAACTGATTACAAACGGTCACAGCCTTCAGGAGAAAGGAACAGCCTGAAGACTACACTAGTCGTCTGTACTATTATGTTGCTTAGTGACTTGTTGTAAATGATAATGACAGAGTCATTATTTAGTCTTAAACTTTATGCTTTTCTTATCATTCTATGTACCGATTAGTTTTTCTTTCTTTTAAGGATATTAGGTTATTATAATGTATCATCGGTAGCACCATAAGTCCATGTAGCACCAACACTTCTCATTAATGTTGTGTTTGGTGTCCAATACATGTGTTTAGATTGAAATATTCTATTTTTTCAAGTTATTATCAGTGTGGTGTCCACGTTATGAATGAGTAATGGGTAATGTTGGGTATTTTCCTTCCCCAACTCCTGTGGTGGTGAAACACTCTAGATATGCTCTTGATTTGAACTTTAGGACCTAACGATACACTCCAGATATTCTCTTGGTTTGAATTTTAGGACCTAACATTACTAGTGGATTAGTAAATTTAATTAAAATTTCCTTTCTTCATTATTCCGAAGATGTTTTATTTTTATTTTTCTTAAAGGCAAACAGTATATACTAAGAGAAATTTCATAAGAAATTAACTAAACTGAATGTCAAATCATAATCAAGCAACCTCTCACCCTAGATCTACCAACCAACGATCTAATAACCAAGAAAATAAAGCTAAGATTCTTTGGAAGAATAAAACTCCTCCTCAACCACCTAAAAATCTCATACAAGACCGTAAATCACAAAGATATATAAACAAACCTAAAAATCTCATACAAGACCGTAAATCAAAGATATATAAACAAACGAGTAAGAGAGTCGAACTCCCTTCCACACATCGGATAAAAAATACTGAGATCTATCTGCATGATTAGCTCATTGATCATAGAGACAATAAAAAGTATCAAAATTAAAAAGCTGTGAAATTCTCAAACTGAGATCTATCTGCAGCTAACAAAATACAAAATTGAAAAGCATCAAAATCATACAGATGTAGTTATGTTAGAAGAAATACATGCTTAATTATATCAAAACATGGGCACAAAATATATGTAAGAAACAAATTGTTAGAGTGTAGTTACAAATTTATATGAATCGAAAACTTGAAATAATCGCTATGTAAAATGAAGGTTGAGATTGTACCTTTCAAATTTTCGCGCGTGGAAAGAAACAAAGTGAATTACTCGAGAGAGAAATAGAGACGCATGATGCTAAAAAGAAAAGACGATGGAGGCAAAAGTGCCGCTTTGCACAACTTTAGCGCCATTTTGTATGCTTTTTCCTTTTTGATATTTGGAAGATTTTCTACTTATCTCTGCAGTGTACGTGGACCCGGTATGAACTGTGTTTGGCCAAATAAACTATCTAATCTATATAGAATATCCGATATATCAATGGGCAGGTTCGGTCAGATTCATTAATTTTTGAGTTGGGTCAGGGAGAATTTAACCTATCACCTCCAAATTATATATTACAACCCCCAAACTTTCATATTTACTTAAAAAAATTATATTATTCTTTCAAAAAATTTCACTATTTTCAATATCAGAAACCGAAATTTCTGATAGTTAATTTGAGATTTTTGATGCGTCGTTTTGCGCATTTTTAAAAACTCACGTGTATTTATCAAAAATTTGAAAATTTCTGGTACGAAATATCAGAAAATTGAAAAAATTTAGTACGAAATATCAGGAATTTGAAAAAATCTGATATACTATACTAGAAATTATCAAAAAATTTCTATAACTTGCACAAACATTTCGTTATAATACTGAAATTTGTTAAAATTTTCCGGTAAGTTATAAATTTTTTCTGAAATTTAAAAATTTTCAGTATACCAAAAATTTTACGTGTATTTGAAATTTCTGGTAACAGACCAATAATTAAAAAAAATATTTTATTTGTGCGGTCTAGAGTCGACAGGGTCATCTACGGATTTGTGTAGCGATTGATTGTACACAGTTCTTCACCATAAAAAAAGTATGTTTTCAATGTAACCAGTTTAAATTTAATATTTTCGTGTCCAAATTTTCGGTAATTTGCACAAATATTTCATTATAATACCGGAAATTGTCAAAATTTCCGGTAAGCTACAAATTCTTTCGGAAATTTGAAAATTTTCAGTATATCAAAAATGTTGCCTGTATTTGAAATTTCTAGTAACAAACCAGCAATTATAAACAATGTTTTATTTGTGCGGTCCGGAGCCGACATGATCATCTACGGATTCGTGTAGCGATTGTAAGCAGTTCTTCACCACAGACAAAGTATGTTTTCTAAGTAACAAGTTTAAATTTAATACTTTTGTGCCCTTATATGATATTAATATTATACTTTTTATGTGGTGTAAACAACATATATTTAAGAGCCGAGTTGTAGTACTAGCATGGACACAATATATTGGCAAGCAACATGGTATCATAATTGTAACTGTTCATTCTAATACTGCAAATGACCAGCGATGTAGGAAAGGTAAATTGATTATGGATTGTGAGAGAGTAGAAAATTATAAAAAGAAAAATACCCCTGAAAGCAGTAAATCTTCATAGGGCATTTATAGTATGAAAGTGAGATGTCCTTTTAGGATGAGATGTGTGTCGAGTGGTATTGGTTGGAAGGTGATGGTTAGGTGTGGATTTCACAATCATAAACTATCTAAGAATTTAGATGGTCATGACATAGTGGGTCGTCTAAAAGATCATGAGAGATAGTTTGTGAATGACACGACGAAGTACAACATGGTTTCGTGGTACATAGTTTCTGCCTTGAAAGACAAAGATCCAGGAAACTTCACAAGTTTTACCCAAGTCTATAAAGGTAAAGCTACATACAATGCGAGCAAGAGAGGTACATTGACTGAAACGCAAATGTTATTTACTCTTATTCATAGACACATTCTGATTCAGTGAAGTTTTTTAATATGTTTCACTTGGTGTTGATTTTTTATTGTACATACAAGACAAATAGTTAATGTGCATCTTGATCATACCTTGATATCATTTCAACATACTTTGATTTATCAGATTTTTTATTGTTTAAATCGTGAACATACAGGTACTTGTTACCACTGCTTGAGATTGTTGGCGTTACGTCAACAAAGTTGACATTTTCAGTGGGGCTTGCCTATTTGGAACATGAAAGGGAGGAGAATTTTACGTGGGAATTGGAAAAGATCAAAGAGTTGTTTTCTTTCGAGAAATTGCTACCGAATATTGTGGTGGTGGACCGAGAACTTGCGTTGATGAATGCAATTAAAGTTGTGTTTCCAAATTCAACACATATGTTATGTTCGTTCCAAATTACAAAAAATGTTAGCCTGAAATGTAAGGAGTGTGTTATATCTAAAAGACATGAACATGTCATGGATATATGGAACAACATCATGTATGCTAATAGAGAAATTGAGTATGTCGCACAGTTAAAGCACTTTGAAACTGTTTGTGTTGATATTCCTTTGTATGTTAAGTATGTGATTGAAACATGGTTGACACCTTATAAAGAAAGGTTTGTGGTTGCTTTGACTAACATATTTGCTCATTTAGGGAACACGATAACGAACAGGTACATAAACTTATTTTTGCTGTTATTATTAAGCATAATTTATCATGTTGGCTCATTATGGTTTAATTATTGTGATATAGGATGGAGTTTGCTCATTGGAGACTAAAAAACATGTTAACTACAAGCCGGAGAGATTTATGTCGAAGTTGGTATGTTATGAACATCATGTTGAAGTTGCAGTTAGGTTCAATCAGGGTGTCGTTTCATAAAAGTATTGTCAACATTGAGCATCGGTATAACACTTCGTTTTATACCAACTTGCACGGTTTTATTTCAAGACAATGTATATGACACATGGGGAAGGAGCTGGAAAGGGTAAAATTTGTTGGTACAAGCAAAGATATTTATGGTTGCTTAATTAGAACTACGCATGGGTTACCTTGTGTGTGTCAACTCATTGGTTTTCATATACAAGGCTTGCTTGTTTCTTTAGAACCAATTCATCTTTTTTGGAAGAAATTACACATTGAGGAGTATACAAACAGTTATGATGATAGTGGCACAAAGTTAGATTTAGAAGTAGAGTATGAAGAGTTGAAGACATATTTTAATTCTTTGGATATTGTAAGCCAGAGGGTATTGAAGAAAAAAGTTCAGAAACTAACACATCCATCCACAACTTTTATGTGTCCACAGCCGGCGAATCATAAGCCAGATAGAGGAGTCAAAAAGAGCAGAAAATATGAAGAGAGTGATGTGCAACATGATCTCTCACAATTGGATTATGGTGAGAGCTTTAATAGGAGTAAGACTACAAATAGATCATACACGAAACCAACACGAAGTCAACCTTCATGTATGTCGGGTCAAAGTCAATTGTCCACTGCATCTTCGAGGCATCTTATTTTGTCTCAATTTCGTGGTTTCTTACATCCATATATTGATGACATTGTTGATGTGAGTGACGGTGGAAATTGTGGTTTTCGGGCTATTGCGACTTTACTTGGATGAGGCAAAAAGTCATGGTCGTTGGTCCGAACGCAGTTAGATACTCAAATTCATCAACATCCAGAATTATTTTCCAAATTGTTTTATGACACAGTCTCTAAAGTTAGGAATTCCTTAAAAGTAAAACAATTGGTTGTACAGGGTCGAGAAAAAAATTGATGAGGATTTCTGATATGGGTTACCCTATTGCATGTAGATACAATGCAGTATTTGTCTCCCTATCACTGAGACTTAACATTACCTTTTTCCCTCTTACTATAGCTTCACTCATGTATACAAGCAAACATAAAATCATTGTTGTTGATTTTGTCAACGATAATCATTGGGTTTAGGTTAAGTTAAAACTTAATAGTCCATTGCCTTCTGTCATTGACTGTTGGAGACAAAATTATACTGAAGATGCAAAAGCATGAGAATCGGCATATGCATGACGTATTAGGCACTAGGATGATGAAGTTAGAAAGTCATTCTAATTTGCTATTTATCTTGTGGACAATATACTTATTATATGTGGAACCATTTATGCATACTCGT